GAAATACACGTATACCTGTAGATATCTGTCAATGCATGTGTACATAGACATATGTATGTATATATATATATGTATATGTATATATATATATATCTGTGTGTCCAATGTACATATTAAAATACAAACTAAATGTCCATGTAAGTTTCTGGACGAATGATGTGGCTGTGTGCACATACAATGAGTATTGTATATCTGTGCTCATCTACATACACATGTGTGGGCACATTCTATCAAAAATGGATTGAATAATACAACTACAGTATTGCATATGTATACTGTATATATATATATATACACATACAGAAAAATACGGATGAAAACACATATGTCAGTGTATAATATATAATATATATAATATAATATGTATATAATATAATATAATATGATATAATATAATATAATATGATATAATATAATATGATATAATATAGATATATATATAGAGATACATATATATATATATGATATTTAATATATACACAATATATAATATACATGGAAGTTTCTTAAAATGGGTGGTACCCAATAGCTGGATGGTAAAAATCATGGGTGAGCACTGGCGCCTGGCGCACTGAGCCCCGGAGCTGGCCGCAGCGGTGTTGCTGGGAAAAGAGATCCACCTCCACCTGCAAATCGATCTTCGATTTGGGAATGGTAAACATATCACCTATAAAAATGGTGATGACTGGGGGATGGTTATACCACCTATAGAAATGGTGATTTAACATGATTTAACATAGCCAAGGTTCTTACCCTCTGGTAATTTGATACAGTCTGCTATAGAAAATGGCCATAATAGTTGATTTACCCATGAAAAATGGTGATTTTCCATAGTTGGTTGTGTGTTTAACAGAGGGTAATGTGGGTAAAACAATGCCATAAACCAGCCATGACTGGGAATGGTAAACATACCACCTATAAAAATGGTGATGGCTGGGGGGTGGTTTTAAATTTTGTTTTACCCACATTACAATATAATGTGTACATGTCAACTGCGGATTAATAAACCATGGTTGAGCACAATTGTAGAGGTATATATACTTATATATGCTTATAGTTGATAATATGGTTGATTACTTACGGTTGATTAATAAACCATGTTTTTCTTTTCATTATGGGGGTGCCCTCCAAATAGTGATAATATGATACTTGATTGTGTATATATATATATATATGTGTGAATATATGCATATATACAGTACCGCCCAATCAAACAGCCGTTTGGATTTTATTAATCCAGGGTTGACAGTATACATGTACACACGATGTATCTACTAGCTATGCTCTTTGGTCATTCCCGACACGCACATTATCTATACCTATGTATATATATATATATATGTGTGTGTGTGTGTGTGTGTGTTTGGAACCTATTTTGGTGATATTATCATTTCCCTTGGTCTATATTTGGTCATTCTATACCTATGTATATACACGACATGTTTGGGGGGACAAGTTGTTGGTAAGTCGGGTCAGGTTTCCTAAATCTCGTCTTCCTGGGTTCGATTCTCGAGAATTCCGCCCCGCATCGCCCCGTGATCGTTTTCATATACCATAGTGATATGATAAAATATTGTTGTTGTAACGTTTTTGTTTATATAACATACATACATACATACATACATACATACATACATACATTACATACATACATACATACATACATACATACATACATACATACATACATACATACATACATACATACATACATACATACATACATACAGTTCCATTATCCTACGCACCATTACCTACATACCAGTACCATACATACCTTACATTACATACCATTACATTACATACCATTACATTACATACCATTACATTACACACCATTACATTACATACCATTACATTACATACCATTACAATACATACCATTACATACCATTGCATACATACCATTACATTACATACCATTATATACATACCATTACATTACATACCATTACATTACATACCATTACATTACATACCATTGCATACCATCACATACATACCATTACATTACATACCATTACATTACATACCATTACATACATACCATTACATTACATACCATTACATTACATACCATTACATTACATACCATTACATTACATACCATTACATTACATACCATTACATTACATCCCATTACATTACATACCATTACATTACATACCATTACATTACATACCATTACATTACAT